CAAAAATGTGATCCTATCCAAAATGGCGCCAAAATAAAGTTGCTCTAAAACATAAACCACACCCTGTATTTACTTGTAGTGGAAAAGATGTACGCAAAGGCAGAAAACTGAAATTAATGCATCAATTACAAAAAGTTAGTGTTTCTGCTGAGAAAGTGCAATCAATATGGACGTGTGGGTGCAACATATATACATACACACGTGTGTATGTACATAGTACAAACGACTACACTGATAAAAAAAAAGCACGGAAATTTCAATATTTACACGTAGATTTAACTATTTTTACCATCGATTTCGCACCATCGTGTGTTTTAGTAGATTTAAAGTCTGCACACTTCAATTTCAAGTTGAATATTAAAATATTACATTTAAAGTGTGACGATATTAAATGTTAAAGGATGATGTGGTCGGGGGTTGATCCACGTCAAAGGTTTATTTTTATAGCCTGTACCCAAAGGGTGAAGTATATATATTCTTGATCAGCATGACAAGACGAGTCGATATGGCCATGTCCATCTGTCCGGCCGTCTGGACGAGCGCAAGGATCTCAGGAAGTACAAGAGCTAGAATGACCAAACTTGGTATCCAGGTTCCCCTGAGCCCTAGGCAGGTCAAGTTTGTTTTTTATTTCGATATACCCCCCACTCCCCTGCAATTCGTGTTTTTATTTTATAACTTCCGTAATTCTTGGAAATCATATATGTATTGAATAATTTGTATTTAATTTAATTAAATAATTTAATTAACATAAATTTAAAATTAATTGAATTTTTTTGTGTTATTCTTTTTGGTGGGAGGTACAGGGTACAGGGTAAAATATTTCTCCAATTTTGTTGTCTACTCTACTGTACTCTTTTCAACTACTACATTGCCATAATGCATATTTTATATACACATATATTCTGTATAGAACCATTTTTAGTGGAAAGCAATTTTCAAATTCTTTTGATTATTAATTCTTATCAATTAATTATTTTGATATTTTTTATGCCTTTTATATATGTAGTTTAGATCAATATATTAATATTAAAAGTGAAGAAAAGCTGATTGAATTCACTTCTTCACACATACCTAACGACCATATATAGTATGTTATGGACATACACTTTGTGTTTATACCACACAACCGCTGAAAACCGACTTGGGAATTCTAGTCAATTAAAGTTTAATACGTTTCTAGTATATTTAAGTCGTCAAATTAAAGTTGAGAAAAATATTAAAATTTGGTATGGAATATAGTTAATTTAACTATTTGTTATATGAAGTGTGTGCATATTAATATTTAATATGCTTTAACGTTAAATTGAATATGACACACTTTAATAACAAAGTTTTACACTTTGTTTTGAATATTATTCATATTACAATCACCATGAATACGTTTTTAGTAAAAACGATGTTTTTATTTGATTTGAATATGAATTTGTAGAACATTAGATTTAATATGAAAATATTCATCTGTACTATGCAACTTTTTTATCAGTGTTTGTATCCACATACATACAAGTAGTATGCCACACAGCAGGCGGTGATGGAAGATCAGCTTGTGGCACGCACGCATATGTCACTCAGCTCAAGTGTCTGCTTCAATTTGTTATTGTTTTTTTTTTTTATTGGTTGTACTCGTATCTATTTCCTTTCGCGTCTGCAGAAGAAAAATGGTTGACAGATTTGAATTGAATTACAATTTTTACTGCATAGCAGATACAATTGAAAAGCATTCTTGGACAAAAATACAACTCACATCAATTTGTAAAACTATTTTTATACCAGAAACAACAAACAACAGACAACAACATGGTACAAATACTCGTACATACATACATGTTTAACAAATTTATTGTGATGATGTGTGAAAATTGAATACAATTTTAAACTGAATTTTTCTGCAAAATTCACAACAATTAGGGAAAAATTTGTGGTTTATTTTGAATTATTTGGAACATGTGTGGCAGATTCTTTATCGTTGGCATGACGAAGAGGCAAGCCGATGTGGCTCATTCATATTTATTTAGGCATTAGTCGTATATATGTACATACATTCAAAGATACACAGGTGAAAGCGAAAATGTGCGAAAAGTTTATCTTTATAGAACTCGGAATTAAATTCTGAACAGGTCTGCATAAATCAAATATGCAAAACACTTTAACCGGCTGCGGAAGCACGTCCCAAAGATTTTCAAAGGCGTAAAAATATCCCAAATTGTTTTAGTATTTTGCTATAATGCCAGACTGATTTTTTATTTGCATTGAAAGACATCTTAGAATACACTATTAAAATTTGTACACTGAGTATATTGCTGGGAATTTATAATTACAATTAAAGCAGATTATATTATAGCAGGTCTTGTCCGCCTTTGCTGGCATACGAATTTTGTGCTACAATTACATATATATTTATTAATTTATTAAATATGTGATAATGCTAATTCTCTTTCTACATTGTGCCCATTTCCAGATCGAAACTATTGAAACTGCCCAATAGAAAATAAGAAAGGAATGCTAAAGTCGAGCAGGCTCAACTCTTAAATACCCCACACCAAAAAAGAAAAATTATTAAACAAATATAATTCGATTAATTAATTAATTGAATTAAATATAAAATATTGTGTACTTGTACATATGTATGTACAAGTATGTGTGCATTACATAATCATGTCAAAGCACTGCTGCTTTGAAAGCAGCAACAAATACAGCTGCGGAAAGAACTTGGGCTTGGTTATATGGCTATAACTTTCTTTATAATCAACCTGTCATAATAAAACTTGGGATACGGATATATAATCAATAACTGAATGTGACCACCAAATAGTTTAAAATTCCAAGAATAACGGGAGTTATAGAAAATCGCTAATAGCGGGGAAGTGGGGAGTGCATCGGGAAAAATTTGCAAACTGGGTGACATGTACATGGCTATATGTAGTGAAAAAGTGAAGAAATATTAAAACCCCAATAATTCAAGTTCCAAAAATTTCAAAAAATCAAGTAGTATGTACTTTTTATACCCTGTACCCAAAGGCTAAAGAGGGTATATTAGGTTATTGCAAAGTATGTAACATGCAGAAGGAAGCATCTCCGACCCCATAAAGTATATATATTTTTAATCAGCATGACGAGAGAAATCGATCTACTTGTAGACATGTCCGTCTGTCTGGATGAACGCAAGGATCTCAGCAACTATAAAAGCTGGAATAACCAAAGTTGGCATCCAGATTCTCCTAGGTCCGAGAAAGGACGAGCTTATTTAATTTTTTGAATTTTTTCCCCTCTCCCCCGTTGTAGAATTTCGTTAATACTGTCCACATTTCAAAAGCAACATAAACCAAACTTTGAACACGCAATGTACAGGTATCTACTTTAGTTTAAAATCCAATTCGGTCAATTATAAGAAAAGTTATTAGCGAAACAAATTTTCTCCAGTACAACCCCCCCAAACTGCAGCAACAAGTTCGCTCTTCTTCTTCCTCTTTTTGCTTCTGCTATGGGCGCATATACCTCAGTGACGGAAGTTTGTCTGGGTACAGGGTATTTCGACTGTAGCGTTCTCTCTTGTTTTTTAATAATGGCGGATTTTCCTTACAAAATTTGAAGCCTTTTGTGCTCCTTTTTTAAAAACCGAAGAAAAAACTTCTTATAGCCCACCTTCATTATGAAAGGATACTAGAGTCAAAATTTCAGCTTCTTAGTTTTAACGTTTCGGCTGCGCGTTGTTCACCAATCAGTCAGTCAGATTTCAGACATCTCACATGTGTACATATGTCTGTCGGGCACGAACGCGCATTCGGCCTATGCCCGCCTGCACACAACTGCTCACGGCCTCTGCCTGCCGGCTCCAAACGACTCACGGCAGAATATCCAGCGAGCGTGAATGTGCAATGCTCGCTTTACGAACCCTATATTTCAGTATGATGAACAATAAGTAATAATCCTAAATGCAATATTGCGATGGAAAATATTAATTTATTTTAAACGTATATGTATTTTTTAAGGATATGCAATTTCAACAAAATCCCGAGCTTTTTAAACAATAAAAGACATAGCAGAACGCATGTTATACTCTGTACCTGTAGGGTAAAATCGGTGTATTAGGTTTTTGCAAAGTATGTAACAAACAGATGGAAGCATCTCCGACCTGGTAAGATTTCTCAATGCACATTGATAGTTAGAAAGGTGACATCGATATTCAAGGGCGTAGGCAGTTTTTTCCAAAGGGGGGACCTAAAAATATAAATTTTGATTAAATAATACACAATGAGTTCAAATAATAACTTATCAATATAAAATTTTCATGAAATCCAGCTCAGTTCCATTTTAAGGAGAAAATATTGATTGTTTGGTCGACTTCATATTGCGAACATTTTTGGCCGACGCCCTTGTCGATATTACATTACAATAATAATCATTTTAATAGTAGTAATTACACATCGATGAGACGTCAATATTGCAGTAGATTAATATGAAAGAAATTGCATTAGGCACTTTAATATATTCTTCACCTTTACATGTATGTGTCTATTTATTCATTTTAGTTTTTTGTTATTTCAAAAGATTCACGATAGGTCATTATTATTACACATTTAATGCGAATACGCGTATGTGAAAAAGTGAAGGGAATAGGTACTGTTTTGTAGAAGATTGTCTAGCTCTATAATTGTGTGAGAGAGCGAGAGAGAGAGAGAGAGAAAAAAAATCGTAATCATAATCTTATCTCACGAATCTCTCATATACTATTTATTAAAGCAAATCAGGAGCCTGTTATTACATATACAGATACTCGTATGCTTGTCACGGCCTTGAACATGTTATATTTGGTTAAAGAAAATCTTGAATAGCTAACGTACAAATAAGCATATATGTATACCCTTTCGAGGACTAGTTGTAAAAGGCATTTAATTGGTAATACATAATTTTCGCACTGCGGGGCTATCCTTAAATTAATATCAATGACCATTTAAGAAGAAATATATTTAATAATGTGCTTGCGGTTGCTTTTCCAGATATTTCGCCATTTGGAACGACCCGCCGAGGTTGCGCGGTTATCGCAACTAAAGGATGTGGTTAAAACGCACAGAGAGCGTTTCATGGGCGCCATACTGAACAACACCGAAGTGAACAATCTGAATGAGCTGCTGTCCTTCGAGCTGGCGAAATATGAACTGGTGAGTTAAGGCTAAGTCGCCTACTATTATCCAGTGCTCAAATTAATTGTCTGCCAATACCATAAAAACTCAATGAGGTTTGTATAGCAGTTTGTTCACTTGGCTAAATTGCTCAGCCTAGGTTTTACGATGCTCAAAGCCTTTGTTTGTCAATTGTCCGTCACAAATTTATAAATTTCTCATTCCATCCCATATCCACAGGCTGTTCAACAGGCGGCCGAGGGTGGTCTGCTCATTGTGGCCGACAAAGACTTTCCAGAGCCCTACGAGCGCTGGAGCATACTGCAAGCTGTGTTCTTCTCATCGACTGTGTTAACAACAATAGGTGCGTCATCATTCCCATAGCAGCTGTTCATAATATGTAAATATAAATATACTATAAAACAAAAATGTAATAATAGATGAACGGGTGCAACAGTCAGAAGGACGCGTGACAGTCCCCACAAAGTCTATATCTTCTTGATCAGCATAACAAGACGAGTCGATCCAGCCCTGTCCATATGTCAGTCTTTCCGTCTGTCAGTCCACCCGTATGAACACCTAGATCTTTGAGAATATAAGACCTAGGAGCACCAAATTGTAGTCCTAGATGCCTTAAAATACACAGAAAATATGTATTTCAGAATATTCCTCCTTTCTCCACTCCCCCGCAATTAGTGATTTTCCATAGGTTCTTTTTTTAAAACTAATCTGGCAAATACCTCCATTTAGTGATTATGTGTCCGCATGCCAAGTTTCATAATGATGTGACAATTTGAAAGGAAGTATCTGCCCACACCGGTTGTTGTTGTTGTTGCTGTTGCTTTGGCTCAACTCTGCACTGTATAAGAGCTAGATTTACCAAATTTAGTATCCAGATTAAGAAGAAGTTTTTTTTTTTTCATGATACACCCCCCCTACCCCTCTATTCTAAAATTTTCTACAACCTCCGTAATTCCTGAATTTGTACCTTATTTTATTTATTTATTTATGGGCTAGCTTAAAGTTAAAACTATAAGCTAACAGAGGTTTATAGCCTGGCTACCAGGGCCTTAAGCTATATTTGTACCTTAAATTTGTCAATTATATGCCTACAGTGCCTTTGTGTCCTTATGTTATGTCACGATAGGTAAAGGAAGTTATAGTCATATAATCTCTGTCAGCAGCTGTTGTTGTTGCTTTGGATCCACTCTGCCCTGCACACATAAACGAAGTCGTTTAATCGTGACACCATATTGAGGTAAATGTATTATTTTGAAACTGTAGGACTCTATGTACGTGTTATGTATATTTAATAAGTTCCATTTCAAAAGAAAAAAATTTTTTAAATATAATTTTTATGTTTTTGCGGGAGTGGGAACAGGGAATTAAGAGTTGAGCCCGCTCGACTATAGCATTAATTTCATTACAAATTCATCTTTTAGAATACAACTTGTCGCATTTGATTTTAATTCAGATCTTAATTCCAAATTCCATAATACCCTAACGAATCGTCTTGTCATGCTGATCAAGAATATACATACTTACTTTGTAGGATTTGTTCATATTAAAAGTCTATCTAAAGCATATCATTTTATTGGCCACAAAAATTATTACATTTTTAGTGAAGAGTAGAAATATAAACAGTATTTTGTAAATACAATTAAGAATTTATAAAATAACTCTTCAATTCGCTCACCCGGGTGTAGGCTTATATGAACATAGTATATACATTTTTGTATACATTTCGAAATTTTGTGTCGATTGCTACAGCACGCGGTATACGGTAGTGCAAGGTGTGTGCATATGTTTATATATATTTTTGTTTCTAATATTTTTATATTTTTTCCCCACTTTACAGGATATGGCAACATTGTGCCTGTAACTACTGGAGGCCGTGTATTTTGCATTTGCTTTGCACTCATTGGCATACCCTTCACCCTGACGGTCATTGCTGATTGGGGTCGGCTGTTTGCCACCGCGGTGTCTGTCTTTGGCAAACATATGCCAAGTAAGTATGCATTAATAATCTTCATTTGAATATTTTTAAAACCAACTATATCCAGTTAAAAAATATAACTCTTGAATACTCTTAAATATCCACTAAACAAGAATATCCAAATATTTACATGAAACGGGATTGTCGATTCGGCACACCCACTATGCTTGAACTTATTAGCTCTCTATCACGATAACATTACTTTTTCTGTTATAAGACAAGTTATTTAAAAATTAAATTTCCATAGACTTTAGCATCTGATTATTAAATCACTTAATTTTGCAAGCTTTTTTTAAAAACGTATGTTGAATGTTGAATAGCGGTGATGTCGATGACTTAATTGTAGATTTCGAATCCAATAAGTTGATTTAGAAGTATGAACATATGCACATACTGAAAAGATTAGTCACGTTTTAGTGTGTACTCCGATTTTAGACTTTTGAAAAAAATTTATCAAAGAATATGTATTAACAAAAACAACACCGTAATCATGCCTCAACCACCGTATTTACCAGACTTGGCTCCCTGCGACTTCTTCCTATTCCTAAAACTGAAGAATATTTGTATTATGCGGAGGGTAATACTAAGCAGTCCTTCTCAAAGTTAACCGTAAACAAGTAAAAAAAGCTAAAGTCGGGTCTCCCGACTTTGAAATACTCTGTACATATGTTAACAATAATTATAGAAATTAAAAAAATAAAGAAAATTAAAAAAAAATTGTTGATCGATTTTACCTCTTTCGGTATTTGAACTCACGTAAAGGGTGTATAATTGCACATATACAAAGCAATTGCGTTTATGTGAATGTATGTATGTTTATGCGCGTCTATTCGTGTCTGTGTAAGCATGTTTGCAATCAACCAAAGCACCAACATCAACAACAGCAGCGGGCAGCGCTTGAGCAGCAGCAAATATATTTATGGCTATAACTTCTTGTTAAATCGGTCTATCATAGTAAAACTTGGCATACGGACTATAATAACTAACTGAAGGCATTTGCAAAATTTGCGTTCGAAATTCCAAGAATTACGGAAGTTACGATTTGCGGGAGAGAGGGGGGAGGGAGGGAAATTCCAAAATATACATTTTCTGCGTATTCACACAAGGCATCTGGGACTAAAATTTGGTGTTCCTAAGTCTTATAGTCTCCGAGATATAGGCGATTATACGAATGGAAAATCGGGAAAACCCCCATAGGGGGGAAGTGGGGGGGGGAAAATCAAAAAAATAAAACAAACTCGTATAGCGTACACACATAAGGCATCTTTGTGCAAAATTTGGTGTCTCTATCTCTTATAGTCTCTGAGATCTAGGTGATCATACGGACGGACGGACGGACAGACGGACAGTCGGACAGACGGACATATATACTCTTGTACATTTCATGTACAGAGTATAAAAATTTTATAATCACATTTTATTTTTATAGCCTGTACCCAAAGGGTGAAAGGCTATACTAGTTTTGTGCGCATGTATGTAACACACAGAAGGAGGCGTGGCAGACCCCACAAAGTATATATATTCTTGATCAGGATGAGAAGCCGAGTCGATATAGCCTTGTCCGTCCGTCCGTCTGACCGTCTGTCCGTCTGTCTGTCCGTATGAACGCAAGGATCTCAGAAAGTATAAGAGCTAGAATAACCAAACTTGGTTTCCATATTCTCCTAAGACCGAGAAAGTACGAGTCGCAATTCGTGTTTTTTCTTATAACTTCCGTAATTATCGGAATTTTGAAATCAATTTTGGTAGGAACATCCAGTAATTTCATTATGATAGGTCAATTCTGAAGAAAGTTATAGAAATATATATAAATATAAATATAAATATAAATAATAAATAAAAATATATATATAAAATCGCTGCTCCTGCGCTGCCTGCAGCTCTGTCGGCAACGCTGCCCGCAGCTGTTGTTGTTGTTGCTGCTTTGGTTCAACTTTGTGCTGCATACATACACGCATGTAAACACGCATAGGAACGTGATGTAAATGTATGCTGTTAAAACTGAACATAAACATGTATTCTAATTTAATTTAATTAATTAATTCATTCATTCATTTTTTTAATAATTTAATTTTTTTTTTAATTTTTTTTTTCTTTATTTTTTCTTTTTTGTGGAGAGTACAGGCTATTTTACTGTCGGGCTTGCTCGACTGTAGCGTTCTATCTTGTTCTTAAATAAAAATCTTAAACATAAATATCCACAATTATAGGTGTTGTGTTTCTGCTCATTTCTATAATTATATTCAATGGTGGTTTTAAATAATTTACGATTTCAATCGGTGGTTGCAAATCACCAAAACTATCAAAGTATTCTTTATAATTTCCATTTTTAAAATATGTTACCCAGTGCGTGCCTCTGCCGCTTTCATTATCTAAATTTATTATACCACATCGTTGATCCATGGTCTCTTCGGCATGGTCTCTTCGAATGTGCTTAAAATATTTACGAAAACCAATTAAATCAATATCGGTAAGTAGTTGTTTGGGTAGCATATTTAAGAGTTTTTTGGATGTGGCTTATAAAATAGTCCATAGCCTTGCTTATATGGTTTCAGAAAAAGTCCCTTCCCCATCGCAATTGATTTCATGTATCGATTATGTCGTGTCGCTTCCGATAATTGTTCTTTTCCAATTGTAATATCGTTTATGGCTTTGGCAATAGCTGATCCACTACTTGCAAGAACACCAAGTTCTGAAATTGCTGACATTATTGGCACCAAAAGTAGGAAACCACAAATTTTTGGTATTGGCATCACTCTCGGAATGATTGATGTAACGTCCTTCTTTATCTTTTGTCTTCGAAAACTTGCTGGGATTGATTGTTGTGATATCTGAATTGCTTCTCTCATATTAATGGATTTTTTCGCTTTAAAATTCGTGCTGTTCGCCTCACACGGTTTGTGAATGATTTTTTATTACAGGCTGCTGCTGCTGGTTGACGGCGATGACGATGTCTTCTAGTAATTGGGTTCCTCTTACGTCGTTGACGAGATATTTTGTTGCTGTTCCTCATCATCATACCTAGTCCGAATTTGACTTTCGTTTTCATAACATTTGTCACAAACCAAGCAGCAGAACGTTCTTTGAAGCCACTATCTTTTGCTTTAACACGTTCCCAGGCTCTTCTCGCTAATATGACGTCGGCGCGATGTGGATTTTCCAAGTCTTTGAATTCTGAATATGCTATATCGTGTTCTCTACACGCTGCATCTAATGGATTAATAAAATACCAAACATACCAAAACATTTAATACGTGACAATGCCAATTTAATTATAATATTTAAACAAGATGAAATGAATATTAAACATATTTATAATGATTATGTCATAGGCGATATGACTTTTAAACAATTTCTAGATATTTGTAGTAAATTTGGGAAGATAAATATGAATTTGTTGTTATAAGTAAAGATAATGCTGTAGACAATGGACGATATAGGAAAGGTTTTGATAATTTTATACATTTGTGATAGCTTCTGATCAGCTTCTGATAAGCTTCTCATAAACGATGTCATTTTAATATATAATAACATATAAAGGATAATACAAGTATTTTAATATTTCATCTAGTTTAAGATTGAGTTTGAAAAGAACAAGAGGAAATACAATGTACATTTCATGTACAGAGTATAATAACGTAAAACATTATGAGACACTACATTTCGCAAATTTTGGCTCTCTATGTGTTTGGGTATGCTGCTAATTTGTTTGTGGATTCTTAAGTAAATTGTTTTTTGGTCTTAGTTGGACACTTAAGTTAAATTCAAACTTATTTCAACTTTACTTTTCACAGAAAAGCCGAAGTTTACAAATTTTATTGGAAAAACCTGGTTCTATGCGATTTTGGCGGTTTGTTTTCTGGGCGTCTATTTGGCAGCCGGCGCGGGTCTCTTGCTACTCTGGGAGGATGATTGGACTTTCTTTGACGGATTCTACTTTTGCTTTATCACCATGACGACGATTGGTTTTGGTGATCTAGTTCCAAGTGCGTTCCACTCTTATCAGATATTCTAAAAGCGTGCATAGCTCTGACTAATGAGCTTTTGCTTTTTCCACACAGAGAAACCGAACTACATGCTTTTGTGCACCCTGTATATACTCATTGGACTGGCCCTAACCTCCACCATAATTGAGCTGGTAAGACGGCAATATGCTACCAGCTGGGCGAAGCTACAGGTACAGATTTTGAGATTTTGCATATGCATCAAAGCATTTTCACGTTGCCTATTTGCTTTCAGGAACTTTCTGGTCCCATGGCGGAAACTTTGCGTCGTTTGGGCGAAACAGCCGGCACAGGCTTGGATTATGCGACTTTGCAAAAAGTTTTGACTGTAAGCACTCCCTTTTTTTTTTACAGAATTGTTGTTAAATTAGAAGTAAATGTGAGTAATTCTTTTAGGTCTCAATGCCCAAGTGGAATAGCAACAAAAAGGACCCACATAATTCGGACATTGCCGCGCTGGAGGCTATAACTAACGCCATCCTCAAGGAAGTTAAGGAGGCTCAAAATAACAAGCCCAAGGTTCTGCAAATTGTTATCTATGAGTCGTCGGTGTAGCAGAATCGCATTCTAAGAAATAATTTTAGGCTTAGTTTGGAATTGAAAATAGTTTTAATGTGGGTATTTTCATAATCATGATTTACATACAGGTGTGTTTGCAAACTGCCCAATAGTTCAATTCATATCTTAGTTTTGGATCCGAATTCTTCTACAATGTAAATATTAGTATATACTCGTACATATGTAGAGGTCATACACATATTGACAATGTGCAAACTTAAGTAAACAGGACTTTTTGAAAATGTACATTTCTGGTGGCGCCATGCATAATTGCTTTAGCTTTATACATACAAGTATAGTATGTACATACATATATACATATTTATTGACATCTCCTCAAAATGTCGTAACTCTGAAGATGTCACGGCGATTAAGGAAAGAGCAAATACAAGTATTATGCTCATTTAAAATTATGAACCAACTTTAGGGTGATACGCGATTCAAAAATACTACTATTATTGCCAGTCAAAATTCGTGAGATTAATGGAAATAAAATAGAATAAAATATCAACGATTCTTTAAATATACACACACAAAGAAAAAGACCAAAACTATTGATGTAAGTATAAGACATTAAGTGCGGAATGAAAGCATCCAGATGAACAAAAACCGATAACTTGTCGAGTTTTTCACAGAAAATTTTAATTTAAACATAAATCACTAGCTATAATCGCCTGATTTGGCTCCATGTGACTATTACTCTTTCGGGAAGTTGCATTTGGCCACGCCTTTCAAATGGCTTATATGATCATTCTGAAGGACATGTCGTCTGATTCCCTAAAACACTCGTACGTATGCTTAATAATCGTAGAAACGTGTTGGTTTTGAATAAAACAAACTAATTTTCTCTAAATGCTCTGCTCCTATTTTCAAAAAGTCCTATTTACTTTGCGATGCATCTTGTTATTCATACGAGTATGTATTTAAATGTAAATGTCTAAGCATAGAATATATATTGCTCATAAGTACTGATACACAAGACCGATGCGGTCGTTCTTTTATGTACAATTTAACTGAATATTTCATGGCATTGGCCCACTGTAAGTTATTGCGGCTGAATGAGATTAGCTTTGTGTAAATGCAAAAATAAATGAACATCGAAATAGGCAACATAAATTTGTTATAAACATGGCCCTCCTCTTCATCCACATAATTTATTTTGTTATAGTTTTGCAGAGCTTATTATTTGTATATTTTGCTTGATACGATCGTGGGGAAATAAATGATGACGTTGACAAAGCTTGAACATCTTCATAACACCAGAGGATGGACCGAAATTTGATCCTCCTAATTAAGTTGGACACGGTTTATTTCACACAAGTATTTAATTAAAAAGCTCTTTGCATTTTGTTTTACGTGGTTAATCAGGTAGTATGACAACAACACTCTCTTACATATATTCCTTTGATTCCATATTGCTCATTCAATATGGCCAATAACGATTATTTGAGACCATTAACAGTTTCAATGCGATAGCTCTTTAACTGTGGGAGGAAATGAAATAGATAGACGGATAGACGAACATCACGATATGGATTCGTTTCGTCTTTAACGTGTGATCTATCATTCCTTCTTTTGAGAAATTTTATATTGCACACAAAAACAGAATACTCTTGCGCTTAACATTTAACACATTTTATTATTGGGGACTGAATTCCATTCTCACATCTTCTTTTCCTAAACTAATTAGGCGCTAACAACGTCCCCGTCTTCCTTAAGGTGTGGATAGTACAAGTATGGCCCTATCCAATCGAATTTGCCATAATAACTCTTCCATCGACTCGAGTTGTGTTAACTACTGTTGTTTACTGCTTAGGTCTACTAGTATTTGTCTCATTAAGTTTATTTTATAACATTTGTTTATGTGTAGAACGCCACTTACTGCCGATACTTTAATAAATACAATAAATAAATAAATAAAATAGAAAAACCAAAAATATATAAATTGAACTTTCAGTTTCCGGTATCGGGGTATAATAATGGAATGGTTTCTGAAATGGTTTGTTGGAAGGCCTAGCCTTCTGATGTCTTATATAGTTTATAATTTAGTTCTCTTATAATATAAAATCTATTTAAATATACTCTCATATATTGTAGTGCAGCCTCGTCGTAACGTCCATCAGGAAAAAGTAGTGGTGCATCAGCCTGCGACTTCAATTACAGATATTCCGCAATAAAACAGCTTTAATTATACACAATTTTGTGCACAAAAAAGTGCGCACAGAACTGCAAATTATAAATATTTGTTACAAAAATAACAAAATTATAATATTTTGTCTATAAAATTTGTTCATTAGAAATGATAATTAAATATAAATCTCCTTGTAATTAACTTTATAAAAGCATTTTTTTGTAATCAGTCGAGATTGCCTTGGTTTGACCAATTTTAGCCCCAAGCTTATAATAGAGTTTCACTCCAGTACTACTACTACTACAGTACTACTACGCCCTAAAACAGAAGGAGCGGGTTCGGTCTTCTTCTTTTTGCTTATGCTATGGACACATGCAACTCAGTGGCGTAAGTTTGTTAGAGTATAGGGGTGTTTCATTGTCGGCCCTGGTCGACTGTAGCATTCTCTCTTCTTTTTATATCCTGTACCCAAAGGGTAAAAGGGTATACTTGTTTGGAGCGAATATATGTAACATACAGATGGAGCCGTGGCATACACCCAAGATAATTTATACTCTTTATCGGTTAAACATGACGAGTCTGTCTCTCCGTACAAACGCATGGAACTCGGGAAGTATAAGATTCAGAACCAAACTTGGTTTGGTTTTTGTTTTTTTGGGGTTCACCTCCCATTCCCCTGATATTAGTGATTTTCCATACCTCCCACAATTCTTGGAATTTTTTCCGGCTAGTGCCCAACTGCCATGGTGTTAAGTTTCATAACGATAGGTCAAATGTAAACGAACTTGTAGTGATAAGCTATAGCTGCTTTGGCTCAACTCTTTATTGACACACATAGACAAAATATTGAGGTAAAAAATGTATTCTTTTAAATCTGTGCGACTCTAGGTACGTGTTATGTATTTTAAATTTTATTCATTATATTTAATTTCAAATTTGGGACACCCGACTTTAGCTTTTCCTCTTGTTTTAACTTCTCTTAGTAGTATTGCAATAGTTTTAAAAATCAATTTGTGAGGCAAGCAAGTCGTTCCACCTCTGATGTTTGGTAATGTAATATTTTACTTGGCAATTGGTTGGAATACACGTATTTTATTTTTTAGGCTTTTTTGTATTCTACCATATGTTTTATATACTAATTTACTCGAAATCTTAAGAAATCATTGAAAAATTCTTTTGAAAAGTACGTCTATAGAGAAACTTAGAATACATTGTTGTAATCTTTTGTCTAAACAGTGCATTTAGTGTTGCTGATAGGAAGGTGCTCCCCGTTCACAAAAGAGTCAGTGGCGGGCAAATTAATAAATTTATTTTGACTCATATAATCTATTATTTTGTACCTATTGGCAATAGGAAGAAGATCTCTTGTAAATAGATAAGAACTAACACAAAACTTGTAGTTTGGCAAATAATAAAAGCAAGACTTCTTAAACAAGAAAAAAAAAACACTAATCAAGTGGAAATGGTAAAGTCGGGTGCCCCGACTTTGAAATACTCTGTACCTATGTCTATGCATGTCCTTGCGTGCCTGTGTGTTAGCATGTGCGCAATATAGACAAAACAACAACAACACATAATCACTATCTGGAAGTATTTCCCAAATTTAAGTCAAGAATTACGGGAGCTATGTATGCATGTAAAATCAGTATTAGCGGGGGAGTGGGCGGAATTCTTAAATACGCATAATCTGCGTCTTTATATAAGGCATCTTGGACGACGTCTCTAGCTTTTATAGTCTCCAAAACGAAGGTGATTATACGAACGGCGTTTCGGAAAAATCATTAGTGTCTCTATCCCTTATAGTCTCTGAGATCCAGGTATTCAGACGGACAGCTGATCAAGAATATATTTACTTTGTGGTGTCTGCCACGCCTCCTTATGTGTGTTACAAACATTCGCACAAAACTAGTATACCCTTTCACCCTTTGGATAAAGGGCATAAGCACCTTGATATAAATCCAATAAAAATTCCATGTTAAGAACGCTGCTTGAGGTCATCATTCCATAAAATATGATCGTGATTTATGTACTCGTAGGAATTTGAATAAAATAAGCCATAAACGAAATAAAACAAAATGGAAACTGAGAAATTTGGGATTTATATATTAAGCTAGTTTAGGAGTAACTTAATTATAGAGTAACGATCATTAAATAACTATCATGAAACGTTTTTCAACGAAACAGTAAATTCAATTTCATGTATAGCAATTTGTTATCATGTTCGTTAAGAATTTATAAAATTATAACATGTTCAAATGCTTATCGACTTCTGGTAACAGTAGCGCTCTTTTGTACTCTAGATATCATATTTTGGCGCACTGAGCCACAGCTATATAAGACGATATACTCTAAAGATATCCAGCTTTCAGTTTTTGGTAAGCAAAGACATAGTTACGTTTAAAGTTAACTAAATATGGCAGGTAAGTGTAGCATACAAGTATATTCACCAACAATCCTCATTTTTATTAAGTTTTGTATTTTATTTATAGGCGTATACCTCTTGTCCAGCATTTTGTGCCTGGTTTTTTCCAAAGCTCTAAGCGCCGACATTATTGAAGGCAACTACAATGTAACGGCCTTCTGTACCTCGGTTAAGACCGGCACCAGGCTGGGTAGCCTTGAATCCTGTGAGAAATACTATCAATGTGATTCCACCGGACCACGGGCCATTAATTGTGATTCCGGTTACTCATTTGATTTGGCTAATCAACGCTGCTCCCCGTCATCTCAGGTTAATTGCGCTGTTGGTGTCGGCAGCTTGGGGAACCCTTGTGTTGGTAAGAGTGGAAGCAAATGGGTACCAATTCAAGGGAATTGCAAGGCGTATGTGTACTGTCAGGATGATAAGGAAATCGGCAAAGGAACTTGTCCACAAGGATCGAAATTTGATGGACAGACACAGCAGTGTGTTTCTGGCCAATGCTCCGATCAAATAGAAGGCACTTATCTTCAGAACTTGTGCAGCGTTGCGGCCCCAGGAATATATTTCGGCAGCACAGTTGATTGTGGAACATGGAACTACTGTACGCCAAGTGGTGAACTTAAAACCGGCTCTTGTAGCGAAAGTGGGAATGTCAAGACTGTAGGTAACTCTAACTTTTTCCTATTCATTCATATTTAGCTAATAACTATTTTTTTTCAATTTTAGGGATTCAATGTACAACTACAAGCATGTGATTACAGCACTAATTCGGTGTGTAGTAGAGTAACAAACCAGGACTTGACTTCAGGAGGTGGTCCCTGCACTACCAGGGGAGAAACGAGAGGGGACAACTATGTGTGCGGCAATTACTATGTATGTAATGGCGAAATTTTTGTGCCCACCTATTGCCCCGCTGGGCAATATTATGACACAATAGCCAAGGCATGCCGTTCGCGACAAATTGCCGTTGCCACGAAGGGCTGCAACAGATGCCAATACGCAATGACCACTTTCGTGAATGCTGTCGACAACACTGCCTGCAGGGATTACGTGTATTGCAAGAATGGCGTGGCCACATCTACTGGACCATGCCCTGAAGGTACATTTTTTGATGAGGCCACTCAATACTGTCAGCCAGATTCTAAGTTGACTGGATACGTTAGTACCAATGGAGCTTGTAATGGGGCAACTGTCGGAGGTGTTCTTGCTCCTCCTGTTCGCACGATGTAGCGCATATTTGTGCCTTGCTTTAAATAAATTAAAATGAATATTATGATACCCCAACTATTATTTTCAATAATCCATTAAAAAATTTCGCGATTGATTACCTAATGGGGTTTTATAGCCAGCTTTATCTAAGATGTATACCAAAATAATGAAAAACAAGTGGGCAGCGTTTGTGCAAAATTCGGTAGAGGTTGAGACATCTTATAGTCTCTGAGATCCAGGTGTTCATACGGACAGTCAGACGATAAAGCTAGATCGACTCGTCATGCTGACCAAGAATATATATACCTTGTGGGGTCTGCCACGCCTCCTGCCTGTTACATTTTTCACCTCCTGCAGAGTGGAACAAGTATAGTATAACAAGTCTGCATCGACCACTGCCATATAGCTCATAGTAGCAGCCTAAATTTAAAACAAATGCTACCGCGCTGATTCAAGATTCAATATAAATGGATAATTAGAACTTACAACGTACCAGGACGGGAATATAAAGTATTAGCTCGATATATACTGAACTGAAAGAATAGAATTGAAACTTAACGGCGATGGGTGGAAAAATGAAAGTGGAATAGGAATGACAGGGAAAACTTTTATTTATTTATATACAGCTTAAAGGTAATTAAAATTACAGATAAGCTTAACTTAAAAACAAGAAAGGAATGCTAAAGTCGAGCAGGCTCAACTCCCACAAAAAAGTAATTAAATTAATTAATTAATTTAATTAATTAACTTAATTATTTAATTTAATTTAATTAATTAACTTAATTAATTTAATTAATTAACTTAATTAATTTAATTAATTAACTTAATTAATTTAATTAATTAACTAAATTAAATATAAAATATTCTATGCATGCATACATATACATTTACATTTACATCAGAATCGTGCCTTATGCGTGTTTGTGTACTTGTACATATGTATGTATGTGTGCATTGGGCCTGGTTATATGGCTATAACTTTCTTTCCGATCATTCTATCATAATGAAACTTGGTATACGGATATATAATCACTAACCTAACCTAACCTGACTACCAAATTTTAGTTCAAAATTCCAAGAATTACGGGAGTTATAGAAAATCGTTAATAGGGGGGGAGTGGGGGGGGGGGGGGGGGTGGATCAGAAAAAATGAACAAACTCGTCCTTTTTTCGGGCTCAGGAGAATCTGTATACCAAGTTTGGTTATTCTAGCTCTTATACTTTCGGAGATCCTTGCGTTCATACAGACAGACAGACGGACATGGCTATATCGACTCGGCTTGTCATGCTGATCAAGAATATATATACTTTGTGGGGTCTACCAAGCCTCCTTCTGTGTGTTCCATGTGCACTCGCACAAAACTAATATACCCTTGTACCCTTTGGGTACAGGGTATAAATATGATTTTTTATAAAGAATTAGTTTTATATACAAAAGTTGATGGGTGCATTAATGAACATTTTCGGGAATTCTAAGAGAACTATAATTTATGAATTAGAATGGGAAAGATAGATTTGCGACTCATGAGGAAATAGCTCTGTGCTATTAAAGACAAGGACGGGAATATAGTGGGTAAGGGACCTCAAACAATGAAATTGCAACATTTTAAGCTTTACGACGACGTTTCTTCATCGCACATTCCACAGCAAGGCTATATACTTACATTCCATACATATGTTTATACATATACATATGTATGTAAATGTATGTTTGCTTCGTTCTCGCTCCGATAACTAGTGAGTTATCGTACATACATAAAATACATATAACATAAAGAGTTGGGTTAAGCCGTATCACTCTATAATACTCTGTACCCAAAGAGTAAAAACGTATTCGGGTTAAGTGAGGTTATCACGCAGGAGGAGGCGTGGCAGACCCCCCAAAGTATATACTCGTACATAGTCATATATGTATGTATATATATTCTTGATCAATTTGACAAAGCGAGTCGAGTTGATGATGTTTGTTCCGTCTGTCCATATGAATGCAAGGATCTTAGTAGAATAAGAGCTAGAATAGCCGAATTTGGGATTTTTTTGCATTGTAGGATTGTAAGCGGAGGGGGTGATATTACTATTCTATATTACTTTTCTATTCTAAAATATTATTTTCCTTTGCAGAGGCGTACGGGCACAGTGAGTCTCAAGAGTTTTCTGGTCTGCTCACTCTTTTGTAAATTGAAAAACAGCTGTATTTTAGCATTCTTGCGTGCGCTTGTTCTGGTAATAAATTTGAATTAATTTCAATCTCACAACCCTTACTAATCGGCCAACGCTTTGCAGATATATTGTGAATCAGAGGAGTGCATTGATCGTGCTAGTTTTGTCAAGCTGATGCGTCATGCCGGCGGAAAACTTACCGAGCAGAAGGCTCAATCGCTCTTTTATGCTATAGACACTTCCAATTTGGGTTACATTTCGTTTGGTGAGCACGATTTCTAATCAACTTTATGCCTGTATCTATTTATTTTGGTTTTCTTTTCGCAGAGAGTTTTGTTCAATACACACAAGTACGTGGTTTTTAAGAAGACTCTTGTGTCCATTTCTTGTTTTTTATAACGATTTTTTCAGCAAATATTGTTCATCATAAGTTGTCTATTGCTACAAGTATTATTCGCTATAAAGTTACATAGGAAAAAGTGCAAAAGCTAAAGTCGGGTGTCTCGACTATAAAATACATATATGTACATATGTGTAGAATATTTGTAGAAATGAAAACAAGTGGATAAGCTAAAGTCGGCTCTCCCTACTTTGAAATACTATGTACATACATGTATGTATGTGTAGAAAAATTATAGAAATCCGGGCAGACGAATCGAATAAGAAAAGTAATTAGCAAAACAATTTCACATGAGTACTACGCCTACAAACTGCAGCATCAAGTTCGCTCTTTTCTTTCTTTTTGCTTCTGCTAGGGACGCCGGAAGTTTGTCTGGGTACAGGGTATCTCACAGTCAGGCTTGGTCGACTATAGCGTTCTCTCTTGTTTTTCTGTAAAGTTCAATTTTTTTAGTTTTCTGTAGACGTAATAGAAAGTAAACAATTCATACGGAGATTCTACATATCAAGTTTTAACAATGTACGTTCAACCATTCCTGAAATCTTCAAGCTAATTAACAATATGCATATATAGTATGTATGGGTCGTTCTGTCTGTTACATACTCGTACTTTTAATAAACCAAATATACCCTTCGGGTAGAGGGTATAACAAGCAAAAAATGTCCTACATACTGTACATGTGTAGGAAAAACTGTTCGTACTGACAACAAGTTCTTTCTCTTTAAACGGTTCAAACGAAGATTCGTGCCCGGATCAGTAAGTAATTTATTTTACGTTTATAATTCTTTACAATCTAAAATAAATATACCTCCACTTACTTATGGATTAGATTAATGGCTATAATTTACTTAGCAATGAAGCTATTAAGATAAAACATGGCTCTCATATTACATAGGCAAAGAAGCTCTAAAAGAGTACCATATCCAATACTAAGATCACTTTATTGATCGAAAGAAACTGAAACATGCCCTTACTTGGATCTAAATGGGAAATTCGGGAATTGCAGTTTTAAAGTTTTCGGTGAACTCTATAAAGAGTGCATTAACAATAGATAAACATGCAATAACTTGCAAATAGATAACATTAGGTAACGAACAGTAAGTGATCTGATTTCTTGTTGCGTCGTTTTTTGCTATAAATACCGACACACATCCATACATATGTATGTATGTATGTATGTACATATGTATGTAGGTATCGTATTTACGTTATGTAGCTAACACATTTTCGATTATGTACGTGTACAAACATGTGTATGTGCTCCAATGTGTACCGCTTGGCGGCCAAACGGTGTGGGTACATTTATGTACATATGTATATATCAGCTGGGGTGGGTACGTTTTGCCAGCATTGGCTGGGAGCTGAGCTTGTAAGCTCTGTAGCTTTTTCCAAGTGAAAATGCACACCGTGTGAGAGAATGAAGGGGCTGCCTGCCTGCCTGCCTGTGGGACTGGTTACTGACCGACTGACGACTGACTGTCGAACGCAGCTGGAGAACAGTGCGACACTAGTTGCCATATTTTTGGCTATATAAGTCGGGCGCAGTAATGTCCGCGGCTAGTTCAGAGCGCGAAACGTGCTGCGCTAGGCGACGACCAGCTTTTTTCTTATTTGCCTCAACACTTTACCTATTGTGTAATTTTTATTATTTTTTTTTTTTTGTGTCTACCATTGATTCCATATTTTCTATTTTTTTTTTCAAATTCTTGCTTTATAAATACTATATTGTTGATCCATCTTCTGCCGTTGCTGTTGCCGAGGGCTCGTTCTTTTCAAGCTCTGTGTGTGTTTTGTGCAATGATTTTAGGGGCGCAATTTTTAGTATCGTGCCAGTCGAGCAGCAGCGAGCATCCGTAGCGGGTAACGGTATCGCGATACGGCAATAACATCAACAATAGAAGAATCAAAATTGTAAAAAACCGCGTGTGGAAATGTTCTAAAGCTTGCCGTTGAGTTTTTCTACCGTTGCTGCTGCTGCGTGTTCGAGTGTGTATGTATGTGTATGCGTGTTTGATAGTGCGTGCGTGCGTGCGTGTGTTAAGCTCACGGCAGTGTTAACACATTTTTTTTTTGTACTTTTTATGTGTTCTTGACCAAAATACCGTGGATTAAGAAAAGCATTTGAAAGTGAAAGTATAGACCAATAATAAAAATCAACTCCCTATGGAAGTGCTAAAGAAAGATGCCACTATTGGCTCACCCAGCAGCGTCTTCTATCTTCTGTTGCTGCCTACGCTGATACTGTGGTACATCTATTGGCGCCTTTCGCGTGCTCATCTCTACAAACTGGCCGCCAAACTACCGGGTCCGCGAGGATTACCCATTGTGGGTCATCTGTTTGACGTTATAGGACCTGCATCGTGTAGGTGGCGCCTCCTCAGATTCTGTTCATTCTTCTACTTCTACTTCCCAATCATCTATTTGCAGCTGTTTTCAAAACAGTCATACGTAAAAGTGCACGTTTTGAGCATATAGCCAAAATGTGGATTGGCCCCAAGCTGGTGGTTTTCATCTATGACCCGCGAGATGTGGAATTGTTGCTTAGCAGCCACGTGTATATTGACAAGGCATCGGAGTATAAATTTTTTAAGCCCTGGCTAGGCGATGGCTTGCTGATTAGCACAGGTGAGTAGAGTGCATCGATTACAGAGTGGCAGGGTTTTATCATTTAAATTGCATTTATGGCATCATAAATTAATTAAACTACAAAAGTATGACAGTCGACACAACAACAGCAAAAGTTTCTAAAAATAAACATAACAGCGCAAAATGTTGAGGGGACAGGCCACGCTATTCTCTCTCGTTCAACTGTGTCTGTCCGCTTAACCACCCACCCCACCCAATCTGTTGCTCTTTTTTATCTCTGCTGTACGGTATATACATACATATGTATGCAAATTTGTAGATACATATGTATGTATCTGTATATGACAGTATATCTCGATGGTTCTAAAGCAGTATAAACTAATAAGGATCATCATACAAATTTTTTTTATTTAAAATACATAAATATACATACATATGTATGTATGCAATAATAGGAGACAGAACAATATCGATTCTTGTACGTTTTTGTTTGTTTTTCTTTTGCACTTGAACATGATCCAGCAACATACAGATAACCAAATACATACAAGTACATATGGATGTGCATATGAAGCCTGATATTTTTTGTTTCTCTTCGGCAGGTCAAAAATGGCGTTCGCATCGCAAACTAATCGCGCCCACATTCCATTTGAATGTCTTAAAGAGTTTCATTGAATTGTTCAACGAGAACTCGCGCAATGTGGTGCGGAAGCTTCGTGCGGAGGATGGACGCACTTTTGATTGTCATGATTACATGAGTGAGGCAACTGTAGAGATTCTATTGGGTAAGTGACAGACAGTGGCTGTTGTTGTAGTTGTACTTGTAGTTGCTGTTGTCGTTCCTCGTTGTTCAATGTTGTGATTCTGATTGTGGATTGTGTGTGCGTGGAGAAGCAGCCAATTCACACGCACGCGCGCACATCAGTGTTTTTTTGGTTGTTTTTTTTTTTTTCGCATTGCAGACAAGCTAGAGGCAGACACACAAATGGACAGATGGACTGCTTTATGCGATTTATGTCACATAATCATATATACTATGTGCTCTACATACACACATACATACATATGTACATATGTAAATATGTACGGCATTTGTATCTGACCACTCGAAACCTACAATTGAGCACAGACAAAAAAATTTGTGTATTCATTTATACGCTCGTTTGGTCATTCATACTTTTGTCAAATCACGATAGTGAGTGGATCGTTAAAAACAAAATTATTGAATTTACTGCAGGCTGGAGAGAACGGTACTTATATATACATAGTGTGTATGTAGATAGTGTGTGTGTACATACATGTTTCAAAATGCGCTAAGATTCGAGCACATCCTATGTGTGTGTGCACATGTACGTGTACATACCCGTATCTATATATGTAAATACATACATATACTCGTACATACATACATATGTATTCAGAAATGTGCAGAACTTTTGCTTCAATGTAACTCGTGGTCGCATTCATGGGTGTAACGAAGGGGGCTGCTGCCCCATGCTAAAATCCGAACCAAACATTAATATTGTTGCCCATGAACTTAGTTGTCTCGACATTATTTATTAATAATTATTAGAACGAACTTTCATTTCAATAAGTACCTATTTCTTTATTATGAGGAAAATATTTTCAATGAAAATTCATAATGATTATGTTGTAATTTCTCGACATAGGGTTGAGGGACTATTTCGAACTACATACTTACTTGAAGAACGCTACAGTCGCGTAAGCCCGACAGTTAAATACCCTGTACTCATAGCAGAAGAAATTCCCAAAAATAAAATAATCTCGTGTTGCCTGGATATTAAGAGAGTCTATATACGTACTTTTTATTTTATACAGAGTATAAATATCTATAGTAGCAGCTGATAAAATGTCATTCTTCGTTACTTTAAATTCTATTTTTGTTTCAATAAATATTAATGATATTTTTCCCAACCTTTTAAACAACATATTGAACAGTCCAAAGTTATTAATCCATAATAATAGTTAAAATATAGAAGCCGCAGTTTCAGATCTTGCTTCTAGTACCTTTTGTTTCTGCAAAATTATGTATATCGAGCATTGTTTATATTGCTATTTGACGTTCTCCAGAAATTGCATTTTTTATAGCCTGTACCCAAAGGGTGAAAGGCTATACTAGTTTTGTGCGCATGTATGTAACACACAGAAGGAGGCGTGGCAGACCCCACAAAGTATATATATATTCTTGATCAGGATGAGAAGCCGAGTCGATATAGCCTTGTCCGTCCGTCCGTCCGTCTGTCCGTCTGTCTGTCCGTCTGTCCGTATGAACGCAAGGATCTCAGAAAGTATAAGAGCTAGAATAACCAAACTTGGTTTCCATATTCTCCAAAGACCGAGAAAGTACGAGTTTGAGTTTTTTTTCGATGCACCCCCCCACTCACCCGCAATTCGTGTTTTTTCTTATAACTTCCGTAATTCTCGGAATTTTGAAATCAATTTTGGTAGGTACATCCAGTTAGTACTAATGTGTCCGTATGCCAAATTTCATCATGATAGCTGTAGAAAGTTATAGCCATAAGTAAAATCGCTGCTCATGCGCTGCCTGCAGCTCTGTCGGCAGCGCTGCCCGCAGCTGTTGTTGTTGTTGCTGCTTTGGTTCAACTTTGTGCTGCATACATACACGCATATAAACACGCATAGGTACGTGATGTAAATGTATGCTGTTTAAACTGAACATTAACATGTATTCTAATTTAATTTAATTAATTCATTCATTCATTCATTTTTTTTAATAATTTAATTTATTTTTTTATTTTTTTTTTAATTTTTTTTTTTTTTTTGTGGAGAGTACAGGCTATTTTACTGTCGGACTTGCTCGACTGAAGCGTTCTATCTTGTTTTTTGTTGAAACGCATGAGTAATGGCAGAAGTGCAATAAGTGTATCCTAATGTTTTTTTATATATTTTAATGATATATGTACATATGTGTGTATATACAAGTAGTACTCAAAATTGCGCGATATTCATCCATTTATTTAAACATTTGTGTCTAAATAATTTGTCGGTCATACTGATGTACGATTATGTACATATGCATAATATTCAACGTGGTAAACTTATTCGGGAACTCCATCAGAACTTTTTTGTGACGTAACAAGTTTTGCTCTCATATTCGCAAACACACATATGTATGTCTTACGGTTCAAAAACATCTTATTTTCCCCTAAATGAAATCCAGTCCTCTCCCCTGATCACTTTTATTAATGCGGTGCATTAAAAGTTTGTAGTTAAGGTTATTTTTTTGCAATGAGATGTGACAGACCCCACGGAATATACTTATGTACATATGTCTGTAAGTCGATACATACTTACGAGTACAGACTTGTACGTACATTTTTGATAAGATTGACAATGCATGTCGATCTAGACATGCTCATCTGTCAGTAAAATCGTAAAATATTGAACTTGGAGTCAACAGTTGAAGGTACATACATTATTATTATTGTTATAGGAGATTGAGAAGCTTACAAATAGTGTTGTCTGAATATATTATATTCATATATATGAATGAGAGCTGGACATGAATTTAGATGGGATATGGTAGTGTTGTTATCTTTCTTATCTTGGCAAAAGGGTAGGGTGGTGGTTGTTACGGTTAAGATAATGCTGATGAGTTAAATTAGTGTGGTGTAGCCGAAGTCGGACTATTTTGGACCGATCCAGCCTGCTAAACTTTTGGTGGCAGGAGCCGAAGTAGTCAATGTTTGAGTTATCCAAATTTATGTTACGGTACCATTGACTTCCGTATGTAAGGCTTAAGATTTACATATGTATGTCTGTTGAATTTATGTTTGGCGTAAAAATAATAGGCATTTTATTTGCTGTGTTCGCAGCTATATCGGCTAGTTCATTCCCTGGAAGGTACATACATACATATAATTATTATGTATGTATTTTCATATGCCCAAATAATATTTGAAATATTTTTCAAATGGTGTAAAAAGTACTTTCAGTATCAAGAACTTTCTTGTTTCTTACGATGTCATGTTCGAAATTAGTATTTTTTATAACCTGTGCACAAATAAGGGTGTACTAGTTTTATGCGAATCTGTGGAATACACAAAAGGTAGCGTAGAAGAGCCCTTTAAAAATATACAGGTGGAAAAGCTAAAATTGGGTGTCTTGAATATAATATATGGTGTAGATGTGTGTGGAATAATTAAAAAAATTGTAAAATTTAAGAAAATTGAAAAAAATAACGAAATTATAATATTACAAAAAAAATTTGCTGATCGATTTTACCTCCTTGGGCTTACGAACTCACGTGTATATCTGCGCATTTAGAGAGGAGATGAATCCAAGGATATTGCATAACAGCTAAATTCACCCAACATGGCTTTCATAAACATTAAGCAGAAAAATATTCCTATAGTATGATTATTAACGTTTTGCAAACCTTGCAATGCCTCAAATTTCCAACAATTTCATCTTCTTAGAGCTTCTAAAGATAACTTTTTCTGTAAAATTTCGTGCCGCACATCTAAACATAGACACAAACCTGATAAAAAATGTATACCATTGTAAAATTATATTAAAAGATTATATATTATATTATGTCATTTTTGTCTGGTAGTTAGTAATATGATGCAGGCACTGCTATCGAATTTACATGTATTGCGCCTTATCCATTCAACAAATGATGTTACAAAATATTCTTTTTTTTTTTAATATTTTAATGAATGCATATATGCATTTAAAGACAGGTAATTAGTCCCTATTTTACATTTTGACATATTCAGGATGTTTAGGACTTATCACATTTATCTGCCAAAGAATCGATTTGAATTAAACATGTCTTTGATCGAAAAACTCTTTTATTTGCTGAACCAAATTGGATGCCAAGTAGCTGCTATTGCATCACTGATATACATACATATGTAAGTCTCCGCTTCGTCCTCAATAAATTGATAGATGTTTTTTGAGACATTTTAAGCTTAAACAAATTAGTATGCATCTTGAGAGCGGAGAAGAAAAAAACCAAAACACTATTTAGGCGATTAAAACAAATTGACTTAATTCAATATAAAAATTCAGTTATGAAGTTATGTAAGTACAAACATATAGCAATCGAAATTTAATTAATAAAGAAGATCCAAATTAATACCGATTTGAAATACATACTTGTATATAATACGTAATCATATATGTATGTATGTAACTAAATTTTCGACATTCTTATACGTTTTTCCCTTCTACATCAATTTTTGAGTAAGCGCACACTGTTAGGAGTGAAATAAATGGCTCTAACAATAGTAGAAAAAAAACTGACTTTAATATTGATCACAAGCTATTGTAAATTATTATAAAATAACATAATCATAATTATCCTTTCGCAACCTTTCTTGAGCTAAATGACCACACATTTAATTTTGTTGTTGTCATATTTGTCATGTGAAATAATCTGTGAAATAATTAATTAAAATAAGAGGATATTGTCTTATTGCCCTCTCATATAGTACATGGTGTAATTTATATTAGTGATTTTTTTTTCAGTGAGTTGCGTAAGATATTTTATTATTGTCCATATTAGTTTAACTGTTGTTATTTAATAACTTGCATAGGAGTGTCCGGATAAAAGAGGTGTCCATTAAGAGAGTTTTTACTGTGCATATAATGTGTACTATATGTTCATACGTTGGAAGTACGTTCCATAGCCTCAATTCAAACACGGCCTCGCACTAAGTGTTTCGTCTACGCTAGAGCTTGCCAAATGATTTTGCAATATTAGCATATCAAAGTGATATATTTTTATATGACTTTT